GTTTGGGGAGTAGCTAATGCTTCCCAGGACTGTCCTCTGGGGCCTCAGGGTACTTCCTCAGGCAAAGCTCAGGGTGTTTTGAAAGTGGGGTCTTCAGTGACCCAGCAGGAGGACAGGGAGGAAGGTGGGGCCAGGGAAGAGATTCACAACGCGTTCATTCAAGTATCTTTACTGATTCCGTGACAAGAGAAGGTGAACAATCACTAGTTTTCTGGGTTCCCAGAACACTTGGTCCTGGCTGAGGAGGGACAGACAAGCAGGGGGAGGTGCCCAGAGCCATCAGCTTATCATGCAGGAGCCTTTCTCCCTGAAGGGATTCTTGTCCTCAGGGACGCCTTTGAGAAGAGGGTCGTTCCCTGCCTGGGCCTCCACATAATCCTTGATATCCTTTCCTGACTTGGAAATCTGTGAGGACACAAAATATGATCATACCTCAGGATCCATGACTTGGTCAGTCCCAGGGATACAGGCTTCTGGGCCAGGTAGGGATGGAGGCCCAAAAGGAGAAAGGTGAAAGGGCCAGGTAGGTAGGAGGCCTTGATCTGGCCCTCAAACCCTGATCCGACCTTCTGGGATGCTTGGCCAGACCCAGCTTGGAGACAGACCTGGACACACATAGGGCTCCATGGTCATCTCTCCTGTGCCCAGGGGACTGTGGCACCTTTCCCACGGATCAAATCCAGCCTCCTTTCACATCCTACCCCAGCCCAGAGGCACTTCCTGGTTCCTCTGCTACCCAGGAAAGACCCCTCTGTCCCCTTATCGTCACTTCCTCCTTCATATCACAGATCCATCCAGAACAGGAAGTAACAGAGAAAAGGAGAGGAGGGAGGGACGAGGAGGCTCACCGGAACTCTTGTGTTCTTCACTTCTTTCTTTAGCTGTTCCACTTCCATCTTCAGTAGCTCCTTTTCACTGAGATCTTGCGCCATTTTGCCCTAAAGAGACCTGGCCCTGGAAAGGGTTCAGCAATCAGGATTACGGATCCCATCAGCTCTTCCAACTCCTTCCGTACCTCAACTTTTATCCTCTCCCCTGCAGCACCCCTCAGGTCAGGTCATTGTTAGATATGTCTTCACTCCATCCCTCCACCCACTGTCCCATCCTGAGTGTAGGGTCAGGAGGAGAGGAAGCCCTCAGTCTGATAGGGGAGACACAGTCTTTGCTTTTGCATAAGGACCTTCTAAGAAGGAAACAGAGAAGGAAGAAAGAAATGAGTTTCTTTCAGCAAGGAAGATTTGGGAAGCATATATACTGTTCCACAAAAATGATCCAGGTAAACATTTTTGTTGTCTCCAGTCCTGGCAGGGGACAGTACAGCCTAGTGTTAGGAGCAGGGGCCCAGCTCTGCTGCTTCCTCACTGCATGCCTAAGGCAAGACATTCAATCTCCCTGAATCTTAGTTTCCCCATCTGTGAAATAGGTATTATAATAATAGTACCTACCTCACAGGATTGTTGTGAGAAGCAGAAAAATAATGCATATGGCAGGGCACAGTGGCACACGCCTTGAATCCCAGTGACTTGGGAAACTGAGGCAGGAGGATCACAAGTTTGTGTCTAGCCCTGGCAATTTAGGGTGACCCTGTCTCACAAAAATAAAAAAATAAAATAAAAAGGGCTGGGATCAGGGTATATCCCTGGAGATTCAGTCTCAAGGAAGAAAAAAAAAAAAAGGAGGAGGAAGAGGAGGAGAAGGAGAAGGAACTCATGCATATGAAACATTTAATACACTGGCTGGCACACAATGAACATAACACATTTCTCCTTATTATTATCACTGATAACAATGTCATCATTATCATCACTGCAGGGTAATCTAAAAGACCTGCCTGGTGCCTAACCTCGATCATACTAAGTCTAGATCCCCGCCCAGTAAGACCTCAACCCCCTCACCTGCCGAGAAGAGCACTCCAAGTCACTTCTCCAAGACCCAGGCAAGATGGTGTTTGAGCCTCCTAGCTCTTCATCAGCTGAAAATCTTTGGATAAAGCAGATGGTCTGGAAACCCAAATCTCTGATGCCTAAGCTGATCATAGGCTCAGGTTCTAAGCCCATGCACCGCCTGAGCCTCCAAGACTGCTACACCAGCGCAGAGAGGCTGACATTCTGCCCATAGAGTAGGGAACAGAAGCCACCTTCAGTGTGTGCCTCTGGGCTTTGTCCTTGGCACTCTGCATCAGCCCCACCCCACCCCAGCCTTCTCCTTCCCCAGCTCCCTGCCCCCAGCCCTAGATGCCCCTGCCTGACGTCCCCCACCTCTGAGCTGCTTCCAGGCTCTGCTTGCCCAGGGGCCAAGATCCAGACCAGCTCCTGACTCCCCTTATCTGGAAGCCATTGTGTCCTCCTTTGACTCCCAACAATTTCACTTTGCAGGGGCTCCTGGCTCACTCTTCATTCATTCATTCCATAAAAAAATTTTCGTGTACAATACAGGCCTAGGCCTAGGGGTGATGGCCACCCTAGTAGTGCCCATGTCCTTGCTTCCTGGCCTGAGCCCTAGGTGTGGGTCTCCCTTATCTACTGTAGTCCTTGATAAGGGGCCCACATCCTGGTCTTTCTCCTGGTATCCTCCCAGCACATGCCGCTGGTTGACACCTGTCAAATGCAAGAGACTCTCTCAAGGAGAAGCTGTTAAGGAACCAATGCATTCTCCTCTTGTTCTCTGCCTTGGGGCTGACAGACTAGGGGTGAGAGGGGCAGGTCCATGCCCACTCCAAGACCCACATAAAGTTGTGAACCCTAAGAATTTTTTTTGGCGGGGTACTAGGGATTGAACCAAGGGACTCTGCATCAGCCCCACCCCTCTAGTGACCTTTACCACTGAACTACATCCCCAGCAGGATCTCATTATGTTGCTTAGGGCCTTGCTAAATTGCTGAGGCTGGCTTTGAACTTGCAATTCTCCTGCCTTAGCCCCCTGAATCACTGGAATTACAGGCGTGTGCCACCACACCCCACCAAACACTGAGGATTAGACAGAATCCCAGAATTCACCAACTTCTCCCCTCTTGTTTACTTTTTTGTGGTGTTGGGGATCAAACCCAGGGCTTCACATGTGCTAGGCAAACACACTACCACTGAGCTACATCCCCAGCCCTCAGCTCCCCTGTGAAGACATGACCTGGATGGAGCCCGTGGCTCTAGAGGGAGGCTCCATGCTCTGTCCATCACTACTGCCCCCAATCCACAAGTTAACCTGGAACTTTAACTTCGTGTTGTCTCAAATCGAAATCCTTCCTGTTGTCTGATTTCTGAGTCCCTCACACCAGGTGTCACACTCAGTCAGTTTCATCTTGTTCAACCTCCATCAGACACAGAATCTCTATAGCCAAAACTTTATCTCACCTGACCCTTCGCAGGCTTGGTAACACTTCTCCAGGAACTTCTGGCTGTGTCTTCCTAGTGTCTAACCCTGATTTCTCTTGCTGCTGCATGGGTTGTTATTCATTGTCACTGTCCACAGTCCCCACCCCCCACCCCCCCCTATGACTGATCTCCATATCGTATCCACCCTCCACTCCCCTGTCCTTTGGTGACTCATCCCAGGGCTTCCCAAGGAAGCCCCCACCCTCTGCCCTTTCCTCCCCTCTTAAATGAGTGGAAAATCCACACCCCCATAGCAGACCAGCCCCCTTCCTCCTCAGTCTCCCACCCCATCCCCCCACCGACCAGTTTCCTCTCCAGGACCAGGGAGCAATCACAGCCTCCTGGACCTTGGCTTCCTCTTCTGGGTGGGATTGGGGGCTGGGCCCCCAAACAGGCCCCCCTGGCTTCCCCCTTCCTCTGGGCTGGGGACAGAGAGGCACAGGCTCAGGGAGCAGGGACTGACTTCCTCTTGTCCCGGAATGAGCTTGCCTGCCCTTTTCGAGCAGGTTTGGGTCTCTCACGCAGAGGAAACCAAAAGCAGTAAGAGGGAGGGCAGACAGAGCGACCAATCAAGGGCAGGGTGAGGCTCAAAACCAGCGGGCTCCCTGGGGAGCCCCACCGAGGCTGGGGGCGATGGCGGAGCTGCAGCAGCTACAAGAGTTTGAGATCCCCACGGGCCGGGAGGCTCTGAGAGGCAACCACAGCGCCTTGCTGCGGGTGGCTGACTACTGCGAGGACAACTATGTGCAGGTAGGTGGAGTGGGCGCAGGCCAGGACGCCGGGGGCCCTCAGGGCCCTTGCAGCCCAGCTTCAGGGACCGTGGCAGCCATCTGACAGGTGCTTGTTCTGGGCCTTGACTTCCACTCCAGGCCTTGGCCTCAGCCCAGGCCCCAAAGCTCAGCTACTCAAGTGACAGCTGGGCCCCTCCTCCTGGGAGAGCCTCAGAGGTCTGGGACGTCCTGTTCTTGGGCCAGACCCCAGACTCATGTCTCTCAGAACCCCTGCTCCAGAGGCCCAAAGACCCTGTCCTTCTGGTACATTCCATTTCAGTCTGGCTCTAGATGAGATGTCAG